TACTACTAAGGACGAGTATGGCGCTTATATATACCTATGCATCTTGGTTGCTACTGCTACCACCATTCACTTGTCCGCATTCTACTGCGAGTGTAAAAAAAGAGCATTCGCACATTCATACGCAGTTGTGGGTTCTCGTTGCGTTCACAATGCGCTAGACATTGACAATGACAGAACGTTTCACAGTTAGCCGAAGGCAAATTCGTTGACGTTTTCGGTGAGTGCTTGCACCAATTTCAGCATATATCGCCCACTCGGCTTGCTGGGATTATCCTTTCTTTTTTCCGCTGCCCTTTTTGCCTCCGCCTCCCGCGCGGTAGAAATTCTGTCATACTTTTAATCCCCCGCGTCGCCGTACGGGTTGCATAGCGTGTTTCTTCGCTGTATTGTGCTGCGGTATATTTACATTGGTCGTTGTGTATTGCTTGAACTTTATGAATTGTCAGTTGGACCGGGAAGGATGCATACTCAACGCCATTGTTTGTCCCCCGCCTCGCTTCCGTCATCCACCTGCCTCTCGCTTCAGATAACCACGATATCGTCCTGACGCACTCGGTCTGAAGGATTTATTCGTCGCGTCTGCGTACGATACGTTGCGGGACCAACGTTTCTTTTTAAGAGAGAATGCAGTTCGTCGAAGGCAACGCTGCAGTGGACAACGCAAGGCGACGGAGGATAACATCAAGCGAAGGTCAGGAGATATCAGTTCATTGTCAAGAAAGCGAACGAGAATGCGAAAACGACGCGTCCTCGACACTTTTTACGTCGCAGCGCGGCAGAAACACCCCGCATTCACGCTCAGGCGGCCCGGGCAGAGGGAGGCACAAATTAATTGGCGGCACGATGAGGGAAAGCCAGGCAAAAGCGGCCGCGAATGAGGAGGGAGGGAGCGAGGGCATTCACATGGCGAGGTGCGTCGCCGCATGGCGGCCGGGGCGGCCAGCCAGCGCGACTCCCCTGGCAGCGGGCGCGGGGCGGCCTCACGGCCACACCCAGGGGCAGAAGCAGGCAGGGGCTGCAGCGCACGAAGTGGAAGAGGCGCAGTACCAGGATGAATACCGAATGGCCACGTCAACGACGTCCCGTTCCAGCGAGGGGCCAAGAGGTGGCTGGGCCCTGGGCGGCAACGTGCCGCGGGGATGGACAAGGGCCGAATGAAGGGGGCGGGCACTGCTGCCTGCTGGAGCTGCGCTGGCGGATGCGAGGGGGGGACTGATCCTACCGGTAGCCAGCCCGTGAGGAAGCGGCGCAACAGGTGCGGGGGCGCAGTGGCGCGCCCACCAAGCAGTGGCACGGACAGCAAGGACCATGGCGAACGGCAGTGGTTCGTAACCAGCCCGGGGGGTGCGGCACTGTGGCAAACGAGTGGGACCCCAGGTCGCCGCGCTTTCGAAACAAAACAACCATAAGAAAGCGAAGTCGACAGCGATTCGTTCCGAATGAGTTTTCTAGTTTCGCCATCACGTGTCGCCAGGACAGTATAGGCCCACCATCGAACATTCTAGCAGTTTTTTGTGGTGTTCATAGAATGATTTTAGCCGGCTCTAGGTTCTCATAACATTGGTTTTGTCGTTCGAACATTCTTTCGTTGCAAGGCCATGTCGTGGCAGGACAGTAGGAATGCCAGGACGGCCGGCCCCTGTACAAGAGGTGGCTTTGCGGTTCTACGAGGCCCTCGGCTGCGCGCGCAACGCGGGGCGCCCGATGGGCAAGACGCTCCACAGTTCGGAGAAGAAAAAACGGCACAAACGCCGACACAGACGGCGAACGACGACGACGAACGACGACAACGATGACGACGATGACGAGGACGAGGGTGAGGAAGGGGGCGAGAAGCAGGAGGCTGCGCGCACCTTTTCTCTGAGAGCGCGATGCAGCGGCCATCTTCCATCCACAGATCCATCGTCGCATCCGGTCATAACGTTGAATTAAGAACCGTTTTGGGCTCGGAAATGGCTCGCTTTTCCTCAGATCGCTCCGTGTCGTTCCTGTAAAATCCAAGGGGGAAGGGGGGCGGGCGGAGGCTCAACAAAGCGGTTTTGTGGGGCCCCAGCAAGGGGCTTCGTTTTTTATATTGCGTCCATTCTTTCAGCAGCCCGACTGGAAACTCTCCGAGCTCCGCGCAGATTTTCTGCGTCTGCGTCGCCTCCCCCCAGGCGGCGCTCATCTGGCGCCGCCCCTGACGCGCACCGCGCGCCAAGGGGGTGGGGGTCCAGCGCCGATCCCAGAAATCCGCGCGGACTGCGGACAGTTTGTTTATGCCGTTGTTTCTTGCTCTGGCGGCACGTGCGGCTACCTCACGCAGTTCCACACGCCGTCGCCTGAGAACGAGGCCTACATCGCCGAGGGCGGCCCCGGGAGCGGGGCCCAGCGGTGGAGGGGGGAGATCGAGCTCCTGTACGAGAGCCAGGCGAGCCTGGACGAGGCGCTCGCGCGCGTGCGGGGGTTGCTGGGGGACTCGCTGTTCCAATCCAGCGCCCTGTCGACGGGAACAACGCGTGGCGGCGAGGTCTCCGTGACGTGCCCGTACGGGAACGAGTTCTGTTTGCGCGTGGCCTCCCCAGATCGGCGGGCGGCGCTGGGGCCCGACGCGGGCAGGCATCAGAGAGCGCAAACCGTACACCTACACCGATTGTGGCCCTGGGCCCAGGACTGGTGGAAACGTCGTCCTGCCCGAGCCAGGAGGGTGTGTATACCGATCCTTTTCCCAGGATGTGCCTGGCCAGGATCGGTGTATGTATATTATCGTCGACCGAAGGCAGCCCTACAGCGAGCACAGCCGGTGCGTTGGCATTGGGGCCCTCACGTTGCAGGTGCCCGTGGGTTCCGCGGCTCCAGGCGCCAGGTTCTATGAGCAGGCCTCGGAGGGAGATCAGCAAGATATGTTAGTAACCGTCTACGACAGCATCTAGCATACCTCAGGCTGCTTTCTGCCAGTCGCGGCCCATGGTCTTTCGAGTGTGGTTGGGGCATTTTGAAGCCCCGCTCTCGACTGTGGTTGGGGCGTCTTGAAGCCCCGCTCATTTTTATCCAGCTGCTTGCGGCATGTCCAACCACAGTGCCAGCGCAGCGCTCTTTGTGGAGACGCTTGGAGCTCCGCCAAGAAAGCCGTGCAGTCGGACCGAGGCATAGAATCGAGGTCGGTTTGGGGAGGGTACCCTAATGTTTTTGGTGTTTGTTGGATGTTCTGGTGCATCCTGGAGGAGGGCACCCTCGAATGCTCTTCATTTTGACCGGCGGAGGGTCTCATTCCCCAATCAGATCTTGCCTCTGTAGGGGTCCTAGCGGATTCATATGGTCAGGTTAGGTTTGCCGCCGATTTTCGCTGCACGCCCGGGTGCCCGGGGGCCCGGGGGTGCCCGGGTGCCCGGGGGATGCCCGGGGGGTGCCCGGGGGTGCCCGGGTGGTGCCCGGGTACCCGGGCGTGCTCGGGGGTGCCCTATAGCCCAATAGCCCTATGGCCTTACAACTCTATAGCTCAATAGCCCTATAGCCCTATAGCCCTGATTGGGGCTTTTCTCCGGTATCATGTTCTTGAGGAGTGTTTTTCTGGACTAGGTCCACTTGTAGCATGTGACACCTCTCATTTCTATTCCTTGAGAGGCTCTCATTTGGGTCTGCCTGGGCTGGCTCGGGCCGTCTTAGGACCCTCTTGTGCCGTCTTGAGGCCCTCCAGGGCCTTCTCGGGCCGTCTCGGGCTTCTCTTGGCCGTCTGGGTAGTCCCTGGCGCTATCGTGGGAGTCCGTTGGGATCCTCTTGGGCCGTCTTGGGGCCCATTTGGGCTTGCAGCTCCTTTGGCTCTAACAAGTTCCCTTTCGACCTCTTGACCTGAGAGCCCCAGGAAATGCAACACATCCGAAACATTCCATGCATATGTTGGGTGTTTAGTGCTTTAAAACTATGTTATGGCCCTTGAACGTTTGGTTTTGTCTTGTTGGGTGCTGTTGGGTGCCTCTTGAAACGATGTTGGACCATCTTGACGGCCTTGGTGGCCTCTCTGGGCCGTCCTGTCAGCCCTGGAGAGCGCTGGAGAGCCCCAGGGAAGCGTTGGGCCGCCCAGGAAGGGCGCATTCGCCCGAAGAGGGGAGGGGGGGGCTTACAATATTGATTATTTGGCTTACGCCGCACCGCCGACCCCTTGGGACTCCTGCGTATCAGTGTAGCGGCCCGTGCAAGAGAAGACTACCGAAGTCGGCGTTCCCCGTGAACCCTACCAATGTCGCGCGCGACGAAAAGAAGGGCACCCTGAAGTGCAAGACATGCAAATGATGACCAATCGAGCGCGCGTGCTGGGGAGGGAAAGGAGGACGGGGAGAGAAGCATCGGGGGTGAGGCGGAGGATGGGGGGGATAATAATCGAAGAAGATGAGGATGAGGTGGAGGGGAGAAGAGGAGGAGGGGGGCGAGGAGGAGGTGGAGGAGGAATCGAAGAAGATGAGGATGAGGTGGAGGGGAGAAGAGGAGGAGGGGGGCGAGGAGGAGGTGGAGGAGGAGGAGGGGGAGGAGGAGGAGGAGGAGGAGGAGGAGGGCGAGGGGGACACAGAGAGGAGGCTCTGGGCTATGGGTTATGGGTTAGAGGCTTCTTGTATGTGTATCGGGATCTCGCGCCACGCCTCTCGGGGGCCTCTCGAAGGCAGTTTTGAAGCCACTTGGGGGCCGAGGTGGAGGAGGAGGGCGAGGAGGAGGAGGGGGGCACAGAGAGGAGGCTCTGGGTCATTGTTCTGGGTTAGAGGCTTCTTGCATGTGTATCGGGATCTCGCGCCACGCCTCTCGGGGGCCTCTGGAAAGCATTTTTGAAGCCACTTGGGAGCCGTTTCGGAGCTTCTGGGGGTCTTTTGGGGGCCTCCTGGGGGCCTCTTGGGGGCTCCTTGGGGCGTCTTGGGGGCCTCTTGGGAGCCTCTGGCGGCCTCTTGGGGCACTCTTGGGGCCCCCTGGGGCTCCTGGGGGCGGAAAGCTAGATGTTTTGAATTTTTGGTCGCCCTCTGGGGCCCCTCTTGGCG